GCCCCACAAAAAGGGGGAAGAAAAAAGTTATCAAAGAGCAGACTTTGCCAGATCATCAAATGAAAGGGGGTGTGGCAGAAAAAAATCCAATAAATGAACAGTGAAAAAGGACCAATGATTAAAATAAGCCAGACGGCTGAAAAGCACGTGTAAGAGTCAGCAGATGGAGACGGTTACTTTGGGAGCTTGTGAATTCCCGTGTTAGATACATAAGGCTCAGTCTTGGTATTCCTACAGGCCTAGGCTATACAAAGGGTATTTGAAACTGACATTCCTAATGAAATTTTATAAAATTTGGCCCTTACAATAACTGAGAAATATCCTGAAAAATCTTCCCTGAAGCTGTAATAAAGAAAGTTTCTTATCTACTGATAAAATTGACAACTCAGTAAACTATTTTCGCTGGTCATCCTACATAAGAAAAAAGCACAAATATATTGGCCTCAGAAATCTGTTAAAAGCAGGGGACCACAGTAAAAGAGTATAAAGATTCTATAAATGGGAGAGTCCAAGAAAACCTCTCTATAAAGTGTTCACAAGGATACATATGCCCATTAGAAGAAAAAGTAAGAATATACATATTATTAATCATATCAGAGAATAAAAAAGTTAAGATTGATATAATATATTTATATTGAATGACTACTTTAAAAGAGAGCAACTTATTTGCTTTATTTCTCAGATTACTTTCAAAAGTCATTTAAATTCTAAAGAGAAAAACAAGTGTAAGTTTCTCAAAGTGTACCAATAGCAAATGACTCTGGATCCAACTCCCAGAGAAGGGAAAAACAAGTCTTGCTGTTTAAGTCTTTCTTTCTCAAAGAAAAGAAAAGGGGGAAAAAAACCAAAAAAAAAAAAAAACCCTAAGTGGTCCTGACTGCTATATGCATGCATATTTAAATCACTTCCTCTCGATTAACATTAAAATGAAACATCTCTGTTAAAAATGGTCTTAATGATTTCCCCCCCCCAGAGGATCTAACAAATAATTTGCCCTGTGACTGTAGTCATTCATAACATACAGAATATTTGCAAAGCACAGTTTAAATACACTGCCTTCATTAGCATTATATATTTTTAATAAAAGGATGCATATCAGAGTGTAAAAACTGGAAGATTATTTCCACAGTTTAAAGAATTAATAAGAGAATGCTGGTTCAAGTTCTTTAAGATGGAAATCTTAGTAAAATGCCATCCTAAATCTGTGAACAACTTACAAACAGCAGGATACCCACTGACTAAGCTGCAGTGCACTAGGCATCCCTCCCCCCCTCCCCCCTTACTATTTAAAAATATTCTGTCAATGCTTAGTTCAAAATAAGACTTATTTAAGAGACCAAAAAAATGCAATTAAACTTTTATTGAAGACTATCCAGTGGCAAGAATACCTTGTGTATTATATTATGTTTTAGACATTCAATAAAGAATTCATTAAGAATGATTTTCACAATGCATTCATCAAAACAGCCTTAAATATTGTTAAAAGCGCATTCAAGCGCCTGTCCTGAGTTCTAACAGGTTTTTAATTTTAGATCGCCGATCATCTTTTTTGTTTTGTTTTTTTTCTTCTTTTACCATCAAGAACTTAGGCTACATAGCTTTTTGAAAATTTTCATCCAGACTATGCTTTTCCATTCTGAAGCCAAATCATTACATGTTACTACTGCAAAGTCTCTAACCTCACCACAGAAAATGTCCGATTCATCTATGATTGAAACATAAAATACATGCAAAGTTTTCAGGTTTTCCAAGTACATCGACTCAGTCTTATGAATGGGTTTGTGTTTTCAACAAATTTCAGAACTGCAGCAGATGGCCACCATGTAAAATTCCCAGCACAGAGAAGCGTCAATTGTAAACCGCTGGTTCAATTACTCGTGGCTAGAATAAATGTCCCACCAACGACTACATCAGTCTTATCATTTGGGAGTGGGGAACGGGGGTGGGAAGGTAAACAATTCCAGAGATCCAGTTCTAATATTGAAACCTTGTTCTTTAAAACCCTCAGCCCTTTCTCCTCCCAAGTGTTCTACGGAAATCTGATGATTGATTCCTAGAAATGAAACAGCCACAGAAAAGAAATGTGTCGTCTATGGTCAAAGCTTGCTGGTTTCGCAAGGGGGGTGGGGGCCGGGGTGGAGACTCGCCGAGAAGAGGAGGGAGGCCGGAGGAGGCCAAGCAGGCAGGGACGGAGCCCTAGAGGCAGGGGAGAGGGAAGCCAGGTTGGAAGGGTACCCACGCGCCCCTGGCCTAGCAGCTCCCGGCAATGAGTGGACTGCCCTTTAGTCTCGCCAGCATCTCAATAAAAAAGACCAAACCTTGGTAAATCATTGCAGCAGGTGACCAAGAAAGTCGTGGTGATTTTGCACCGAGTTTCAGTGAGCCACTGCAAACCTCCCCCAGTGCAGGCGCCGGCTCTCTCGGATGCAGAGCTTGAGGTTGGCGCTCGGGCCCCAGCGCGGCCTCCGCGCAGCCTCCCTGCCTCCCTCGGCGCGGCCCCCGGGGAAAGACGGGCCGAAGGCACCGAAAGGGCGCAAGGCCAGGGGCGCGCGTGCCGGGCGGCGCTTGCCAGCCCGGGCCCGCCACGAGGGCTCCGTGACACAGGCGGCCGTGTATGGTAAAACGAGAGTCGACGGGCCAAGCAAACAGTGCCCAGTATGGAGAACTCAGCAGGAGCCCAACCACCTAGGAGCCCACTCCGCCCCCGGCCTACCTCCGGGACAGCCCTGGAGCCGGCGCGCAACCCGGGAGCCGGGGGCCCGGGTGGGCTTTCCCGCTCATCCCCGCAGTTCGGCGGCCTCACGGCCCCAGTGCGGGTCTTCCCGCGCGTCTCCAGGCCCCAGGGCGCGGCGCCGAAGCGCGCGCGACGTTCGCGCGGAGAAAGCCTGGCGCCCAGGACCCGGGGCCCCATCTTTGAGATTCCCGGCCGCCGCCCAGGCGCCCTCGGTTACCGCACGCACCCCCCACCCGCCACGCCGGCTCCTCCCGCACAGTCTCTCCGGTGGCCGTGCCCCGTTCCTCCCGCCGCCCTGGGCCAGCCTTCCGCGCGCTCCTCCCTCCGCCTCGGGCCCGCCGCGCTCCGTTCTCCCGGCGACGCCGAAAAGAGACTGAACAACGACCACCACGCCCCAGCACCGGTCACCGCTCGCGGTCCAGAACGGTAGCAGCGCTTCCCACCAGCGCACAGGCAGACATGCAGCTTCAAGGGGGGGGGGGGGATTCAAAACTGGAAACGGCTGTTCCCCGCCTCTTAAGGAGGGAGAACGGCGGGCATCCGCGCGCTCTCAGCGCTGGTCACCCAAAGGCGCCGGTCACCGCGACTCGCAGCCCCGACGCGGCCCCTCGCCGAGAAGGCTGACCCCCGCCCGGCCCGCCCCACCCGGCCGGGTGCCCGCGACGCCCGCCGCCCGGATGGGCAGGGAGAGGAGGGTGGGAGTCGCGGAGGAGGTGAGAAAGGAAATGGGGTTGCAGAGGGGGGAGGGAAGGGAAGGCCGAGAGAAAAGAATCCTCCGCCCCAGGTTTTCCTAACCAGCCACCGAAAAAAAGAAAAGCGAGAAATTGGCCAGCCATTGAGCACTTCCAGCCGAAGCCCGGGGAATATGGGATTCCCTTCGGCCACCTTCCCACCCGCGCGCACAAGGGCCTTGTCTCTGAATGCCCTGCGACAACACCACCGCCAGTAGGACTTCCATAGAGACTATGGGCGATGCGAGTTTCTATCAGTTCCAGCTGATTTATTAAAATTGTCAAGATACAGACTTCCAGCACCAAAAAAAAAAACAAAAACAAAAAAAAAAAAAACAGGCAATGATGTCGACAGTGCATTGAGTCTGCTTTGCCACCATTTGCTACAAAATATGCAGATGGTCTGTACTTTATTTAGATTATATTGCACAAAATGAGAAACTTTTTAAACTATGTGCCTTTTTCTTTTTGCTAAAAATCGAGAATCCAGTTTCAAACCTTCCATCTGGGGCCCCATCCACATATCACAGCGTATGAGATACATAAAGTCCTACTATAGTACAGTACATATACAATCTTTAAACTAAGATAACAGCTCTGAGGTCTATATCACCGTTTTCAATAAATCTTTACCTACAAATATTGAACAAATCTCTACTATAGCTGTACAAAAAGTTTGCTTTTTTTTTTTTAAACCACAAGGCCTTTAGATGCAAGGATTATTTTAAACTTTTAATCCTTTTTAAACCAGGACATAACGTACCAACATACTTGCATGCTAAAAAAAAAAAATAAAATAAAAATAAAAGAGGAAAAAAAGAAATCAAAAGGGAAGAAGTGCCTGAAAGTCTTACTGAAAAAACACAGCAAGAATGTTCCCTTTTCACTGTACAAAAATACGCCTGAAAATATATTAATTTTTAAAAAAGACTGAGGTCTGTTATGTATCAAAAATGTTTCAATACCTTTTGTACTGAGGTCTAGGCTGCCTGGTATTCAATCAAGGAGGTATAAGGGAACAAGTTACAAAAACAAAAGTTGGCAAGTAGAAATCACATTTGTAAAACCATAAACAATTTGATCTGAAAAGTAAACTCTGATCTTAAGTCAGTTCACAGTTTTTTTTTTTGTAAGCGTTTGTACAGTCTGCATTTTTTCAAGCTCCCTGCAGTTTTGTTAAGAATCGGATGCATAGAAGACATCAGTTTTCTCCCTCCAAAAAAATAAAATTAAATTAAAAAATTTGCCATGGTCCCTTTTTTGTTTTTGTGTTTGTATTTTTTTTTTAAAAAAAATCACCAGTTCTTTAAGATCTCTTAAGAAAAAAAAAATAAAATAAAATCTCCAACCAACTCCCTAGTTGTGCTGCCAAAGGGTCCTCTGCAGGCGTCTTCCAGACTTCAAAAGACCAACAAGCTTCAAACAGCGCCTTCCGGAGCGGGTCCTCGCTCCCCTCCCCCGCCCCGTCCCCTCCACCTTTGTTGCCATCGCGAATTTCAGAAAAAAGAAACAGTAATTACAAGGGGGGACGACAAAAAAAGGACAGGAAAAATGTTTCAAAAACTACTCATTTCACTTTTAACTCCACCAAAATTTTCAGCATCTTTCCAATTTGTGTCACGACATCGTATCAACATCAGCATCTTCTTCTCGCCCCTCCACCCTACCGCCATCACCGTCGACACCAAAACCTTGTATCATCATCAGCATCATCACGACCACCACGACTTCCTCCCAAGGAACCCTGCTCTGCACCCGCCAGAGAAAAAAGAGCGAGAACGGGGCGCCCCCACCCCACCCCTCCTCTCAATACGTGAACACCAGGTCGGAGAAGTTCGCCTCCAGCCAGTCCCCCGCGATCATCTCGCTCAACTCGGGCGTGCAGTAGTCGGGGAACTCGAAGTGGGAGCCCAGGCTGCCCTCGCTGAACGAATCCAAATCCTTATCCACCAGCGACAGGGACAGGTTCCCGGCCGCCGCGCCGCCCCCCAGCTGCTGGTCGCCGGCGCCGTGCGCGCTTTGGGAGAAATTCAAGCTCAGGTCGAACATCAGGTCGTCGGCGTCCTCGCCGCCGCTGCTGCTGCTGCTGCTGCTGCCGCCGCCGGCGCCGCCGCCGCTGGACAAGGAGGACGAGGAGGAGGTGGACACGGAGCGCGCGGATGCGGGCGACAGCGCGGGCTGCGCCAGCGGCGGCGGGTGCTGCTTGGTGATGTTCTTGAAGCTGTAGTAGAGGCGGCTGCCGCCCCCCGCGCCCGAGGCCGCTCCGGCCCGCACCTCGTCGTACAGGCTCGCGCCCTCGGGGGACTCGGCCGCGCTGCTCAGCGTGGGGCTGGCGGGCACTTTGGCGACGCTGTAGCGTCTCAGCAGCGGCGGCGGCGGCGGCTGCTGGCCCGGCGGCTGCAGGAGCTGCGCGTGCGGCGGCGGCTCGTCGTCGTCCTCGTCCGCCTCCTGCTTGATCCGCAGCTGCAGCTCGTCCTCGTCGTCCTCTTCGTCCTCGTCGTCGTCCAGGAATACGCACTTGACCGTCTTCCCCGCGCCGCTCACGCGCAGGCTGCCCAGCACGTAGTCGTCGCCCGCGCCGCCGCCGTCCCCGGGCTGCGCCGCCTTGCCCGCGCCCGCCTTGGCGCCGCCAGCCGCCGGGGCCGCGGGGGCCTTGAGCTTGCCGCATTTCTTGCTCGAACCCTTGGAGGTCTTGGCGCCGCC